CTGCAAGCCAAAGTCAACCTTCATTGAGATCTGGGTAACATGGTTGTTTTCCCATGTAGTTGAAGCTAATGGATGCATTTGTACTTGTAACTGGAACTAGATTCTCTCAATGAGCCTGAAGGGAGTCCAGTGCACACGTTCATGGCTGACCCTGCACCATTCAAGCCAATGGGAATTTTGCCATTGACTTCAATAAGAGGAGGATCAAGTCCTTACAGCTATGTTGACTCTGCAAAATCTACAAGGCTATTAGGAAGAAAAGATAGTAAAAGTTTATTTATTTGTCTCCAAAATAATCAGTTATACTCTAATCCCGAACCCTCAGTTAAAAAAAAAATTCTTACAAATTTACAAATAAGAAATCAGTATAATCAGGGATATGTCATGACCAAGTCTTTACTGGGTTAGTTACTCAAAGTTTTTGAGCTATTACCATGATGTGATATTATACTTCTATTCAGACCATATATATATATATATCTATATATATATCTATATATATAATATTATGCAAAAATATTATTCAAGGTATTTCATTTACTTTGGAAAGTGCTTTCTTTTCTGTACACTCTTTATTTCTATTGGTATCTTATCCAGAAAGATAAAATCCACTTATGTGTTTGTAAAGCGCTTTGAATATGTAAAGCGCAAGGAAAGTGCTAAGAATTATAGCTATTACTCGTCTGCAGCATGAACATATGTACATTTATACAGCTCTCAAAAAAGAATCTGAAAGCATGCAGCTGAATGCTTCCCCAAAATGGGATATGAACTACTTGAGTGCTGATTTAGGCAAAACAGACTTGTTTGTTTGTTTGTTTATTTGTTTAATTATTGCACGTATTAACGTAGGTGTTCACTTTTAGGCAAGTTTGAATTAGATTGTTATATTTCGGCAAATATTGCCCTGCTTGAAAAACGAGACTGATATTTACAATGTTCACTGAACTCATGCTTCTCTAACGAAAAAGGTATATACTCTCTTCAGCCACACAGCCAACCACATCATGCAAACATAGGAAGGAAGGGGCTGGAAAGCAAAACAAATGATCCCGTAGCTACTCCATGAAACAACATGTAATGCTCTGTCATTTTAAAGTAAAGGCAAAGCACTTAAAAATATATTAGCCTAATTTTCAGAACTGTAGACATAAGGGCTGCATCTGCAAAATGTGCATTCAAACACCCTTGTGCTGGCAAATCAACAAAGGCCGATATATCTACTTTGCATGCTCCAGTTACCATTTTGCAAGAACAGCCATTGTACCTCTATTGAAAATTTGGCCCTGTAAATACGGCCTTTTACAGGTATGAACTAATACAATGGATCTTCGCAATGAATGACTTCAGAACATTGTAGAGAAAGATTAGCAGGCACAAGTATTGACACTCAACCTAGAAACACTTTGCTTTGTGAACTTGCTATTTCATAGCATAAATAGCTTTTGGCCAATATGCATTTTTAACCAGTAGCATTGTACCTGAACTGTAATTGATACTGCTGGCTCAAATAATTTTCAAGGTTGGATTAGTTTTGTTACATGTTCTCTCATTGTAAAGTGGCATGAAGTTACACCTAATTTGTGACTTTAAAAAAGCCATGAAAAAACAAAACAAAAAAACCCTTAGCATGCCATGCAGTTCTACCTTGCATTAGTATCAGCTATCGAGAAAGAACTAAATCCCCCCACAAAAGGCAAAGGAATTCACAGTTAAGGCTAATGTTTTTTAACTAACTTATCCTGTTATGCCTATTGTATGTGCTGCAGCATAACTCGGAGGCATATTCCATGCATTCATGGAATTAGCTGCTAATAGCAATGAATCAAAATCCAGTCCCCAGCAAGTAATGGGGAGGTTGTATAAAGAGAGCAGGGGAAGAATCCTCTTTTTTGGGCTAATTCTGCAGCTTTGGATCTGCAGTAGCCTCTACCCCAACAGCTCCCAAGCTTTTTGAACGGTTGAGCCCACCTCTGGACTGGTGTCTCCACTTTCAGTCGGCTCACAACCCTGCCTTGGGTGTGAGCCCATGTGCTATAAACTGAATTGCAGTGGGACTAAAAACCCCACTCTTACATTCCACGACCCTTCATTTAGGAACTGTTGCCCCACACCCTGTGAGGCAAGGAGCCTTTGGGAAGTAGCCAGCAATCAGGCTTTTCCCACTCCGTCCTCTATGCTGAAGTTCAGCCACCCGCCCCTTCCCTCCCCCCTGAGCTGAGCAGTGGTATATACATGGTACCCTGACCCCTGGAATCACCAGTCATTCCTACACAGCAAAACCACGTTGGCTCAACTGCACTCAGGAATGGGGAGATGAAGTTGCACCATAACCGATGGGATGCCAGGTGAGATCAAACATAGTCAGTCTCTCGACACTTGCAACAGCTAGGCACATTGTCGATGGATACAGGAAAATCAGTTGCTGCATGTCAGAGACTGAAGCCAGACATCAGGTTTAAAAGCCTAGTGCTTCAATTGTACCCACAATATTTGTGCTTGTGCCAGATGCCGGAATAAATGCCACGCTTCCTGAAATGTGGACTTTCTAGTGGCCTTATGCCTGGCCTCCATTTGCAAGTGCAACTTGTCCCTGCAAAATGAGCAGTGAGTACTTGGGCCTCCAAGCTACCTGCCTTGGACCTGCCACTGAACGGCGGAGGCAAAAGGGAGCGGCAAATGTTTGCCAATGCAAGCCAAAGCCCCCACAAAGCAAGGGTGAAATGGGCAAAAAGAGCCGGGCACCTCGGGCAGCATCCAAAATAAATTCTCCCTTCTTTCTTGCCCCATCAGTTGGATCTGGTTCACCCCCTTTCTCCATGAATTCCCTAAAATAGGGGATTTGATGGGAAAAGAAAAAGCAAAGATAAGAAAAATGTGCCTTAAAAGCCCACAGGGATTGAAACAACAGATGCAAGGACCTCTTTGGGTTAGTGATGCTCTTTTGTGGAATTACTCAGTTCTTATGTGAAGAGCCCTGCGTACCACACTTCATGCTTCCAACGTAGTAAAATGCATAATTTGCAAGAGAGTTTTTTTTAAGTTACCCACTACAAAGCAATGGCTCTGCTGGTTGGTTTGATAAGGATGCCTCATAATCATAAAAATGAGTGTTATTCACCTGGCTGATTAAAACAGCTTCTTTTCTACTACAGGCACTTTCTAAAAAGTGGGATTGTGACACAAAACGTCATAAAAGCACAATGTGGAAACCCTTCCCTGATGGAGTCATTATGGTCTAGTGTGTCAGTCTAGTCCAGGGGTGGGCAAAATGTGGCCCGCCAGGCCATTCTATCCGGCCCACGGGGCCTCTAAACATTTTAGAAAATCAATATTTATCTGCCCTGGGATGCCTGTCATGTGGCCCTCAATGGCTTCCCAAAACTCAGTAAGCGGCCCTCTGCCCAAAATAATTGCCCGCCCCTGGTCTAGTTCAGCAAGAGCATCTGTTCTCAAGTGTCTAAGGGCAGTTCTGATGGGCGCAAGAGTGGGGGAAGGCTCTGTAAAGGAGCAATATCTGCAGCTGGTGTAAATTAGTGTAGCTCTATTAGAGATAATAGTGCACTGCCAATTATTGCTAGCTGAGGATCAGGCCCAAACAGATCTGGAAGTCTTGTGAGTAGGAGAGAGGGCTTATCTGCAAACTGCATAGGCAGGCAGAGTAGAGTTCACCTGGGCTGTAAAGAGCCAAGACAAGACCCCTCCTGACTATAGCCCTGCTCTCACACTGACAGCGGACAAGGATGGTGCTGGAGGTTAAGCAATCAGATGTGTGGCAGATGGGGCGAAGAGGGTGCCAAGGGGAGTAAGCTAGGAGAGAGAATGTAGGATCCGTATTAACACAGATCTAATGGCCCCAGTACACTTTGCAACTGGTTGTCTGGGGGACCACAGCTGTATACCTGAAGCCTGACCGAAAATTAACTGAAAGAGTCCCATAGTTCAAAATCATTTGCAGCAGCCATTAAGACTGGATTTCACCTGCCCCACCCACAGCCCAATCACCCAGGCTCTATGTCGGTGGAGCAACCTCTTAACAAATATATCACCTGATCATTTTTCTCGCCACTGGAAATGTCAGAGTTATAAACATCCTAGGAAAAGTGCGAAAAATCCCTTGCAATCATTTAACTTCAGGCTTTGAAAACCACTTGTACAGCTCACAAGGAGCTGAGCTAAGATTTCATTTACCCTTGCTGAGAAGTTGTGTAAAAAGCCTCAGCCAGGAGCAATTTTGGGGGGGAACTACAATAAACCCCTGAAAAATTGGAGTTTATAACAAAGACACTGACAGACTCAGACACCGCAGCTGAGTGTAACTACTCGAATCTACGTAATTATTATTCTAAGAGTTAAGTATGAATGGTGTCGATAAAAGGAGGCTTTCAAGAAAGAGTTCATTTCCCCCAAAATATACAGGGACTACATGTGAGGTGTTTTGTTTTGTTTCTTTTTACATAAATAATCATTATTATTGTCCCTTAAATATAACATTAGAAGAGCAGGAGGGTAGTTGGGATGAAATGCAGTGCATGCAGAATACCCACTAAAATAAGTTCTCACAGTCTAGACTATCACCTGATGCTGGTTAAAAATACTGTCCCTTAAACTCAGATGAATCCTCCCCTTTAAAGGGAGAAAAATCTATCGTAAACATACATGATATCATAATGAAACAACACCTGGAAATAGTTCTAATTGAACAGCGAACACGTCTTCCACATGAAGTTACTCTATTGTTTAACTCTGCAGAAAGGACAAATAAGGAGGAAAAAAAAGTTCAATTCACCCAGCCTGAGAGCAAAACTGTCATGGCAATATTGGCAGGTTGGACCCTGATTCTTTAAATAGTACATTGCCTTGGTTAAACAAAAGTCATCCTTTTATTACATAATAGAGGTTATAAATAAATGTAAAGTGTGCATGCAGTCAACTGCATATTATACAAGCAATATCTATGTTAATAATTGTTTTCTTTGGCAGGCCAGAATCCAGCTGGACATGCAATATTTACATATCAAAATCCTTGTTGTGTTCAAGTCATATTGGATGCACGTGAAAATATATATGTATGTATATTTACTGTACACACACACACACACACACGCACACATATATATGTATAAGGGTATATATACACTCCTGCATATATACTGTATACATATATACACATAGGTATATGTTATAAGTGGATTTCATCTTTTTCTGATTCTGGTGATTCAGGCCTCGACACACTAAAAATATCCTGACAGGGGATTTGCGGCGGGAGCTCGGGTGATAAATGGAACTTGGGGGAAGAGCTTCGGGACACGCTCTTTTCGGACAGTATTTTTAAAATCTCTGCCACCTGTTTCTCAAGGGCAGCCATCCTGCTGCTTAGCAGCTGGATATCTTCTTTGAGTTCGTGTTTGACTTCCTGGAGTGTGGTTTGTAAGGCCTGCTCAGGAATGGGGTAAAAGGGGTGTTTTGCATCAGCTTGAATAGGGCTGTGTTCCAGAGGGCTACGAGTTTCACCAGCTTTATCCAAACGAAGGTCACTTTTTGTGATTCCACTGTCACAAGAGTCTGTTTTCCTCAAGGGGTTTTTAGTCACCCCGTTCTCCGAGTCATTGCTCTTGTGGTCCTCGGACAATAACCCCATTGACTCGGCCTTTGTGACATTATTCCAGTCTTCCTTTTTCTCCTCATGGGTCCCCATATTGTTCTTTAGTCGGAGCCACCCTTTCCCGTTCCCATTTTTCATCCTCATGGGACTGTTCACTTTGAGACATTTTTGGTCACTGTTGCCATTTGGCTTGAGCTCCATTGCATCCCGGTTGTTCTGCTTAACTGCCTCGCTGGTTTTCACGTACGTCAAGGATGTCTGGATGGGTGTGATCTGAGACACCGTGATCACGCTGGTGCCAGTGATGGCAGCCCCATTCTGCATGGCGCGGCTCTCCACTTGGAGCTGGTTCCTCTCTGCATCAATGTGTGTTGAGCCTTGATTCCGCATTTCCTTCTGTTGCTTGAACTTCTGGAAGAGTTTTCTCACAGGGTGGTCCACAGGGATGCTCAGCGTTACTTCGTTCTTCTGACGTAGGCGCTCCTCTTCTTCCTTCTTGACGTCACTGATTTTCCGGAAGATAATCTGTGGGGGATAAATCCAAACAGGGTGAGAATCCCATGGGTTTTTCATACAAATATAGAGATAATTTAACTAGAAAGGGTCCTGTTCAGAAATAAAGCCCCATCTTTCCTCCCTCCTGATGTCCATCAATGAATTCAAATCCAGTCAATCAAGACCATAATAACCTTTGGAGAAGAAAGAAAGTGAACAAAACCTTCAAATGATTACAGCACTCTCAGACAGATATGCTCATTACTTATGACACATCAAGACTTGCACACTTCCTACCTTTTGTGCACCTCAGAAAGAAACAACAGTTCAAAGGAGACTAAAATACTGTATCATTAATCCAGCATTCATCTCATTTTTCACGGATTTGCAAATCCAAATCTTATAAACTGCGTTATTGGTATTTATTAATAGCTTTGCATCAGCTCCCAGAAGCTTCAGTAAGGGCCCCACTGCACAATCATATAGCAAGAGCAAAATTTACCAAAAAGCTTATGGTTTAATACAGCAACCTCTCCAAACAGAGAGGGGAACATGCGATTAAAGAGACCTACATCCAATTATGGACCATACCAAATCATTCAAAACTGTGAAGTCCTTTTGAGTATCCCACTACTGTGTGTCCCAATAGCATATCAAGAGGGTTTTGGGGTTTTTTTTTAAGCAATGTAATCAAAAGCTCAAGCTCAGGAACTGGTTTGGCAATAAACAAATGACATCATTCCCTGCCCAGCTAGTCTACATTGGTGGCTTTATGAGAAAACAAGATTTCTACAGACAGAGTTAAACAGAAGGTTCACAGGAACTAGCATTTGGATACACAGGTAATGGGCACCCTAGGAGAAACTGGGAGGTAGATGAAGGCAGCTGAAAGCAAAACATCAAGGATATCATGAAACAATGAGGGTCAAGGAAATGGGACACTAGAAAGAAGCCTCATCACAGGAGTCTTGGACAAAGACACAAATGGGATGTATCTAGTAGGGCTGTGCGAATATTTGGATGGTGATTCGATTCGGAGGAGATTCGGCCCGATTCGGTGGCCGAATCTCTGAATCTGAATCGAATCAGGGGACCAATTAAAAGGTCCAAATCACTTCAAAGCTCTCCGAATCTTCGGAAAAGATTCAGAAAGCTTTGATGATTCAGGCAGTCCCTGATGGCTGCAGCAGGGAGCCATATCCAACTCTGAGCTGGTAAGTACTAGGGGAGGGGGAGAGTACTGAGCTGGGGGATCGGACCATGGAGGGAACCCTGCAGCCCCCCCCACAACCTCCACCCGCTCGCCCAGTCCCCCCCATGGCTGCCCCCACCCACCCCAGCCCCGGACTTTACAAAAAAGCCCCGGGGCTCCCCAGGGGCCGGTGGGGGGGCCTGTGCAGAGCCCCCATGTGGCGTGGGGCAGTGGGGAGCAGTGGGGATCCCCCCGCTGGCAGGAGCAGTGAGTCTGGGGGTTTTTTTGCTTTTTTTTCTTAAAAGGGCTGGAGCTGGCCCAGGTTGGGCAGCCATGTGGGGGCTGGGAGGGAGAGGAGGGTTCAGGGGGCTTGTGCAGAGACCCCCATGCAGAGTGGGGC